TGTGGTAGGTCGGGGTGGGGCCAGGCATGGTTATTTTCTAAATGCTCCCCAGTAGATTTGGGCCACCCACTGGGCTGCCCACCACTGTCCTAGGTCAGTGTTTCTCAGAGTGTGTTGCAGTCCTGCTGCATCCAGAATCCGAGGGATGGTTTAAATACAGATTTCTGGGTCCCACCAGGCCTCATAGATCAGGTTTGGTGGGGAGCAGAGCTGCGACTTCATAGTTTATTATCTAGGTTACCTGTTAAAACTTTTTATTTTGCGATAATTATAGAATCACAGGAAGTTGGAAATACATGCAGGGAAGGAGGGTCTGGGTACTTGTATTTGTGTGTGTGTGCATGCGTTGTGCGCTGAGGTTCCAACCTGGGTGTTGTGCATGCCAAGCAAGCCCTCTACCACTGAGCCACAGCCACATGCTGTGTCCCTTTTCTCAGCTTCTCCCAGTGATAACCTCTTCCATAACTATAGCATATTACCAAACCAGAAGGTTGACATTGGTTCAATGCACAGAACTTATTCAGATTTTATTCAGGTTTATGTGTGCTCAAGTGTGTATGGGGAGGTAGGGTATCATGTATATTTGTAAGTATCTGTCTGCTACTCTTCCGTGGTGCAAAGTCTTGACTACTATAGTTAAATCTTAGGATATGAAACACTGATTCCTCTCACTTCATTCTTCTTTTAAAAATTGACTTAGTTATTCTAAGTCTTTGGTTTTTCCATATAAATTGCTTGGAGTTAGGTATTGCATTAAACCTATTAGGCAACTTTTGGGAGAACTGACATGTCTTCCAATCCATAAGGATGGTAAGTGTCTCCATTTACATAGGTCTTCTTAGATTTCTTTCATCAATAGAGTTAATGTTTTCCACATGTTAATTGTTAGTATATAGACATACCATTGATTTTTTTTACATTGCTCTTGAATCCTGCAAACATTTTAATTTTTTTTAGTATTTTTATCTACAGACAATCAAACCAACTGAAAACAATTTTCTTCATTTCTTTTCAATCTATACACTTCCTATTTATTTTTCTTGCCTTATTATACTGGCTACTATGTACAAGAGTAATAGGAGTAGTAGACAGCCTTGCCTTGTTCCTGATCTTAGGAAAAGCATTTCACCGTTAAGTATGATGTTCATTTTAGGATTTTTATAAATGTCCCTTTATCAAGTTGAGGAAATTTCCCTTTATTCTTGAGAGATTCCATCATGTACAGGTGCTGAATTTTGTCAAATGACTTCTTCATGTTAACTGATATGATCACATATTTTATCTTTTTAAGGTTGTTAATATGGTGGATTATATTGAATGATTTAAAAATATTGAGCCAGTTTTGTATACCTAGTATAAATGCCACTTGTAGTATTTAATTCTTTATGCACATTGCTAGGTTTGCTTTGTTGAAGATTTTTGTGTCTAAGATGTGAGGGATTCTGGGCTGTGGTTTTGTTCTCTTTTCTTCTTTTTGGTACCGTCTTCATCTGGTTTTTGTATCAGGGAAATAATGTCTTCATGAATTGAATTGGGAAGTGTTCCCACCTCTTTTAACTTCTGGAAGAGATTATGTACAGTTATTGTTGTTGTTCTTTAAATATTTGGTAGAATTTTCCATTGAAACCATCTGGGCCTGGAGATGACTTTTTCAGGAAATTTAAAATTATGATTTCAATTTTCTTATGGTAATAGGATTATTCAGATTGTTTCATTCATCTTGGTTGGATTTTAGTAGTTTGTGGTTTTCAAGGAATTGGTTCATTTCCTCATTTTCAAAATCATCGTCTAAAGTTGTTTATTATGTTGCTTATTTTTTTGTTTTGTTGTGCTTGCAGAACTGGGGATTGAACCCAGAGTCTCACACGTGATAGGCAAGGGTCCTGTCCCTGAGCTACATCCCCAGTGAGTTTTTTTCTTTGTGTTAGTTTGTTGTTTGAGTCAGGGTCTCCTTAAGTTGCCCAAGTTGGCCTTGAACTTGTGATCCTCCTGCCTCAGTCTCCCAAATAGCTGGAATTACAGGTGTGCACCCCTCTATCTGGCTCCCTTGTCATTTTAATGACTGCAATATCTATGATGATAATATCTTTGGTTCCTGATATTAATGATTTGTGTCTTCTTTTTTTTCATCTTTGTTTTGCTAAAAAGTTTTTTTTCATTTTATTGATTTTTCAAATAGTTGGCACTTTTGTTTCATTAATTTTTTATTGTTTTGTTTTCCACTTTATCGCCTTTGCCCTTATCATCATTATTTCCTTCTTTTTTGCCAGATTTAGGGTTTTTTTCCTCTTATTTTGCCATTTTCTTGGGGTGGAAATATAGATAACTCATTTAAGATCTTTCCTGTTTTCTAAGGAAGCATTTAGTCCTATGAATTTCTCTCTTGTTTCTGCTTTAGCTTCAACCCATATTTTAATATGTTGTTATCTAATTATCATATTATAATTATAAATATAGTAATACATTTATTTTCTTTTGTTTACTCATTTTGTGTTTCACTTTTCTTGCCTTCTTGTGGGGTTTTTTTGAACATGATTTAACATGCTTTTTTTTTTTTACTTCTTAAAATTTTTTACGTCATTTTGCGTGGTTTTCCTAGTGGTTACATAGGTATGCATACATAACTCATCACAGTCTATGAATACGAATGCCTCACCACTTCAAGTGACCTTACTCCTTTGTGGTCCCTTTGCTCTTCTTACTCTTAAAATATAATTGTCCCAAGTATTCCCTCTAAGTACATTTATCCCATCAGATGGTGTTATAATTTTTGCTTCAGCCATCAAGTATATTTAAGAAACTCATGAGAAGTGGGACAGTCTAATAGTTTCTACGCAGTCCATGATTCTTTTCTTTCTGAAGTTCCATATTTTCTTCTGTTATCATTTCCCTTTCTGCCGTAAAACTTCGGTAGTCATTCTTGAAGGGTAGGTGGACCACTGACAAATTCTCTCAGGTTCTTCATCTAGGAGTGATTTGATCTCAACTTCTTTCCTGAAAGATACATTCACAGATAGACGACTTGTAGTGGACAACTCTTTTCTTTCGGGACTTGGGAAATGTGCCACTTCCTTCTGGTCTCCATGGTTCCTCACAATAAATCTGCCGTCCCCAGTTGTTCCCCATAGATGTCATTCTTTTGGCTTTCAAGACTCTTTGTTTCTTTCTTTTTGTTTTCAGAAGCTTAATTATAAAGTGTCTGGCCATGGATTTCGTCAGATTCACCCTATTCGAAGTTCACTCAGCTTCTTGAATCTGTAAATTTGTCTCTTGCCAGCTTGGGGTAATTTTCAACTATGACTTCTTCAAAGTGAAGTGACTTTAGGCATATTATTTTAAGTTTGAGAAACTGCTCTGGAGTCGGTTTCATGGGTCCAGGAGCCCTTCAGATCATACACAAACTACTGCAAGGTGTTCGTTTCTCTTAGAAGGGTGTCTACAGCTTTCACTAGATTCTCGGAAGAGTCTATGACACTTGTAATAAGATTTGTAAAAGCACTGGCTTATGATCTTATCAGGTTATTTTCCTTTTCTTGGTTAAAACCAGTAAGAAACTAGTTGGTGTCCTTTCTTTCTTTGCACTGCATTTGTTGAAATCCTGTTGTCAAAAAGATTTTCCCAATAGTTTTGAAAAATATGGTCACTTGGGTGAATATTTTCTGAGTGTTCAATATGTGCCAGAGAAATATTTTTCTTCCCAGTCAGTGAGAGGGAAAAGAGATTAAAAAATTAACTTGCTTTGGGGTTGTGAAAAGTTCTGAGTAAGAATTCTAGAATAAACTTTCCCCTTTACAATCTGTTCCTGGGGCGGGAGTTGTGGCTCGGTGGTAGAGCCCTTGCCTAGCACAGGTGAGGCAGTGGCTTTGATCTTCAGCACCACGTAAAAATAAATAAATAAAGTAAAGAAATAAAATCTGTTCCTCACTGCTCTGAGCTGGATACACCAGTGATCAAGTCACCACCCTGAAAGCACAACACTGTGCACGAGAATGTACCTTACACAGTGGTCCCTTGTCCTCAGTCTGCTTTGCTTTACACACCTGGCCATCGGGCACTCACAGTGCTCCCCAGGCAGCCTGGCCCTGGCCAGGTGCTCAAGCTGCCTGCTCTGCCCCCACACTCCCTCCTCCTCTGTCACCCACCTTCTGGAACTAACTCCTGCTCACCTCCAGAACATGGGTTGGGAGCCACACCCTGGAAGCCTTCTCGCTCTCCTCTACCAGCACTGCTAAGTATTCCTCCATTGTCAGAAGTCACACTGGAGGCTGATTGCCTGACTGTCCCTCCCATCAGACGCTGAGACCCCTGAAGCCCTTGACCAGGCCTCGGTTGCTCGGTGGCTCCTGGACTTTCTTAAGTGTGAGACACGGACGTGAGCACGGCCTCCTCCGTCAGAGCTCCCCACCAGCTGTCTGCGGGCGCTCCTTCTCCATCTCTTCCTGAATGTCATAAGTGTCTGTTGAGCCTCTCCACAGACAGGCATGGAAACCAGATGTTGGGCCCTCCCCCAGAGCTTCATCTCTCCAGAATTCTCACAAGCATCCGTTTATTCATTTGCTTTAGACTGTTTTCAAGAATCAGTGTAAAGGTTACTGGTCTTTGACAGAATGCCCACCTCCCCAGTTTTGGAACATGCACATGACCTTGACCTCTGCCACTTTCCTCCTTGGTCTTCCTAGTGGATCTTATGGATGAATGTTTTATTATTGCATTTACATTTACAGATCTGCCTTTCCTAATTAGAAGCTCCTGGAGGCAGGGACCCTCCAGGGACTGGTACAAGGTGGCTTCCCCAAAATATCGGTGGGAAGAAATTGATGTCAGGCCGTCAGAGCTTCACTGGTGCTGGCAATTGGAGCAAGCCTTTCCTCGTCTTTCCCACGCCTTCACTTCTACTTACTTTCATCCTTTCCCCTGAGCCACCACGGATTCTTTTGGGGAAAGAGAAGTAGGTAGATTAAGGCCACACGTTTTAATGTGATTTTTTTTTCCCCTTGCAGGTACTATCTTGGCCGTCGGATGTATATTGTTATGTCCAAGCCAGACATGATCCGGCAGGTGTTGGTTGAGAACTTCAGTAACTTTTCCAACAGAGCGGTATGTCATCTTCTCTCTGCATGTAGATGGATGAGGGACTGACTCATTGTGAGATGCAAGAACTGCACAGTCAGTCGATCTAATAGGGATACTGTGCGCCTCTTACAGGGCTTAGGTAAACACCTCCCCAGGGAACTACAAGGGGATGCATGGGACTGCGACAAAAAAGGTGGCATTTACATTTGTGAACCTCTTCCAGAAAGCCAAAGCTTGAGAGGAGTTGAGGCTAAGAACAATGCTAAAGCAGGAGAGTTTCCTAAAGCTGGGTCGGAGGCTAGGGGAATCCACAGGGCACAGGGCAAGTCATCTTGGAACTCTGAGCAAGGCTAATAATGTCAGCAGGAAAGCAGAATGCTGCAGGTTTTATGTTCATATCTTTTCTAGAAGGCATAAAAGTATTAAGGCCAGAAAGGAAAGGCACACAACACTGATAGGGAAATTTGTCCCCAAGTAGGAGGAGGAGCCTGTAAGGGAGCCCTTCCTATTAGTTCAAGTCTCCAACCTACTAAAGGATGTACTGCCTCTCCCCCTGCCCTTTTTTTTAATCTTTGATGAAAAAAAAAAATCTCACAAAATGGCAGAGGTGACAGAAAATGACAGAGGTGAGTGCTATCCATATTTTCTCAAAATGGAGAGAGAGAAATTCTAGCAGGAATTCCCTTTAGACTTTTTTTTGGACCAGGGATTGAACCCAAGGGCACTTAACCTCTGAGTCACATCCCCAGCCATTTTTATGTTTTATTTTGAGACAGGGTCTCAGATTGCTTACAGCCTCTCTAAGTTGCCGAGGCTGGCTTCAAACCTGTGATCCTCCTGCCTCAGCCTCCTGAGCTGCTAGGATTACAGGCTGTACCCTATAGACTTTGCATAGATATTTTAGCAGGAATTCCCTCTAGACTTTTTCATAGCAATTTTGCTTTCATAGAAAAAGTCTAAAGTGAATTAACAAACAGATGCTTGTGAGAATTCAAACAATTCCGTGCCAATCTTTATTTCGGGGGGGGAGTGGGGGATGTCAAACTAACTCTCATTTTCCATGGATAGTAGGTAATGTGCATATTCCGTTCTTTTGTTGATTTATTTGGCCACGGGCCAGGCACTGTCTAGGTGCTGATTATAAAGAGAGAGAAGACCAAGTCTTGCCTTCAAAGAGCTCAGTTTAGTGAGGGAGGCAGACCAGCAGAGACCAGCACAGGCCAGCAGGGCAAGGCCTCCTGCAGTGGAAATTCAGGGCCATCCAGGCTGCCAACAGGGGAAAGCTTGTGGATGTGAGATCCCTGGGCCTGCATCTTAAAGGAACTATCCACAGCATTCCTGCATTCTGTAGTAGTAGGGCTATCAGAGTAGATTTTTTGGTCTTCACAAAATTTATGAGATTGGTGCAATTATCATCTCCATTTCACAGACAGGAAAACCAAGGTTCAGAGAGGTTAAATGACCAACCCAGGTCACATGACTACCTGGGGGAACAGCAGAGATTTGCGTAGCATCACCCAAGGCAAGTCCAGAACTCTCTTTTACTGCACGATTACAATGGCTGGCTCGGGTGACATTTCTGGATGTCAAGGTTTAAGGGAATAACTGGTCCCTCACCCAAAATTATGCTCATCCCCAGAGCATCATGCCCAATGCCAGACACCACATGGCCACTGGAAGGAGGTGACTGCCTGGCCTTCTGTCCCCGTCATCTCCGAAGGGCCAAAGAAATCCCAGAGGTTTAACTGCTTCTGGTTTCTCTTGCCCAACACAGTCATCATCCCGCTGCTCGGAGACTCCCGAAGGCCTTTGCCTGCTGGGGTCTTACAGGCTGAGTCCTGGTTCAGCGTAGATCGCTGCTCCAGCAGCTCAGCAAGGGGTGCTGATTGGGGAAGCCAGGGGAGCCGAGCGTCAGAGCTCCTGGGCCACCACGTCCCATCCGAGCAGGCGGTGAAGGTGCCCAGGAGCCTGCCATGATTCCTGAGCCCACCCGAGCCCTGAGCAGGGAGATGGATGTGGCAGCTGTGTGTTTCCATATGGCTTCAAGTGACAGCCAGTCTGTCCCCAGGGCACAAGATCCTGAGAACAGACCTGGAAGAGGGCCCCCTCTAGGAGCAGACAAATTCAACCCATGTGTTTGGGCTGAGGATACCTTTGGCCTTGGTCAGGTTCCCCTCCAAACCACTGGCAGCCCTCCCTAATTTCTTCCACCCCCAGACTGAAGTGTGTTGGTCCTGACCCCAAACTCCAGAGTAGGGTTCTAATTTCCTTCCTCTTCCACTCATCCCAGGATTAAGCCTTCAGCATGAAGTCCAAGTCCCCCAGACAAGATTTAAGGGCCCCTGGAACTTAGATCCATTCTATGTGCTCCAACCTACTCTCCCACTTCTCCCCAGGACAAGCTGTCGCTCCCTCAGGCGGGGACCCTCCATTCTCTCCCTAGCCTGGATCTCATGCTGACAGCCCCATGGCATGGGAGACAGCGGAACAGTAGGCTTCATGCTCAATAGCCCTGTGAGCTTGAGCAGACTTCTTCACTTCATTACACCACTTGTTCCTCCTGTGGGAAATGGGGGGTAATGCCAAACGGGATCATGCAGGTAAGCTTGTGGGCAGCGCTGGGCAGGCAAGACAAGCAATCATGGTGCATGAGTTGCTTTTAGCAAGAAAAACTCCACCTCCTTCACACCCATCCGAACCCTAGCCAGTTTTCAAGGCTCCCTTCAGATTCTGCCTCCTCCAAGAAGCCTTCCCTGCCTCCATCTACATTCTCTCTTTCCTTGCCCCGGAATCACAGGCTCCCGCTTATCTGCACCATTCATCTTTGCAATAGATCCCACTGAGCCTTCTGCTATTTATAGTAAAGGAAGGTGAAGCTTTCGCCCTAACTTGATCTTTAGTCCTTGAAGGCCAGGAAGCATATCTTGGACTTCTTTTCTGGACTCCGTGGCCCAAACACATAAGGACTATTCAGCACCCAATATATTTTTGTGCAAACTAAATTAAGCCTCCACCAACATGACAACCTCCCCAGAAGAATGAAGCAGTACCTGAACCTGGAGATTCCACACGCACTTCTCCATCAAGGGCATTCACAAACACACTGGAAAAAGAAAAAAGGGGGGAAAAAAGACCCATCAAAGACCCATTGTGGATTAGATCTCCAGGAAACCCTAGTGTTTATCATTTTCCATCTGGGACCCCACCCACTTATCTTTATCTTTGTTTACGATCTTTAAGCCAATTCCATATTCATGATAAAACAACCCTTAGTGACTCAATTTTTTAAAAACAGTCGTTAGAGCGGGATTTTCTCACAGGTTTTTGAAAGTCAAATTAAACTGGGTTCTGTGGTTCCCTCTTATCCATATGCTTATTTATCTGCTCAAAGAACTCAAGGAGATTAGTGAGGCGTGATTTCTCCTTCCTGACACCCGGCTGCCTTCTCCCTAATAAGGCATGTTTACTTAAGTGTTGAGCGACTCGGCCTTATTAGACATTCGCTCAGTAAACATTAAACGCTTGCTCTATGTGAGCCTCCACCAAACGGTCCCATGTGATACAGAAATACTTCGGCATATTAGTTTGATGCATTAAGTGAAAAGGAACTTAAATAACGCAGAGTTTCATCTTCCAACAGTGAGAGCTCATCTCTGCTCCCAGATCCAGGCTTGAGTTATGTGCATCCCTGGGCAGCCTGGCAGAGAATGGCGGCCATGCGCCAAGCTGGGTTCAGCTGAAATTTGATGTGAGCTGTGAGCACCCCGCCCCCCCCAGGGACCCTTGGAGCACAGAGGAGGAGTGACTGGAGGGAAACCCAAGTCAGCATCGGGCACATATTTGAATTCCAAAATCATTGAATGAAATATTCTTTTTCAAACCCCAGAACACTGAGCAGAGCAGAGTAGGACCCCGGGTGGCACTTGTCACGTCTGAGTTTGCAGTCCCACATTTTCCCAGGCACTTGTGGCACCTTCCATCTTGCCCCTTCTCCCCTATCGGTGCCCTCAGGGCTTCCTGAAACTGTGGGTCCAACCGCAGTTAATCATTAAACCCAAGTCCATCTTCTACATCATGAGGGTATTTTTGTTGTTATTGTTATTTTTGTTTAAATATCTGTGGAAACTGGAACAGGGTCCATGCGACTCAGCAGAAACTACTATAACCAGTAGCAGCGCACCCGATTCTTGGCCTCCCATCAAGGCCTGGAGTTGGGGAAGCGTGGGAAGGATGATAAGGGGTAGGCTGTCTTTAGCCCATTTTCATTCTATTTGGATGGGGGAGGGGGACAGGAGGCGATGTACCTGTCCAGTCTTGAGACCCGCTGCCTTGGAGCTATGAGCTCTGAACCAAAATGGCGGCACAGAGAATGGATCAGCTGCTTAGATGGGAATGGAGATGGAAGGAGAGGGTGGTTGTATGTGTGTGTGGAGGGGTGGGTGAGTACAAGCCCTCAGGTCCTTATCCTTAACAGAGGTCACTTCTTCAGGCATGGATCAGGCTACTCACAAGCATTACATCTAAAGCCACGTGATGAGTTGGGTGAGTGGCTTTATCCAGAGCCATAAGCACCCAGGGGCCTGGATGCCCTCCGTTTAGCATGTCAAAGGCCTGCTTCATCCCCTCACCACATAACTGTCAAAATCTAAGCATGAGTCACTTTGGAACCACAGCCCCCTTGGCCTTGGCAAAGATGGCTAAAGTTAGCAGGCAAATGAGTCACTGGAGACCTGGTTACCCTGTGCACCTGCAGCAACACCCTGGTCCAGAGAAGCACAGGGGCTTCATCAATAAGGAAAAGTCCCTTTAGAGCTATGGGTGGACCAGACCCACCCGGGCTGGGGCCTCAGGGACCTGCCTGCTGGCATCTGCCGAGAAGAGACGAGACATCAGCAGATTTGCTGAAAAATTGCCCCTTTTAACTTGTCCCTGTGCCTATAACTGGCACCATCTAGAGTTCCTGTTCCCCTTTCCTTTAACTAAAACAGTGAGTAAGTGAAGATGTGCAGATGTTCAGACATGTG